TATTGTCATCTGCTGGACAGCTAACTAAAGTGTCTGAAAAGCAATATATTATTATATTACTATCAACAATACATAATAATTACATAATCATTAATAACATAATAATTATTATAGCTAACACTTATGCTGAGTACTCACATCCTCAGTATAATTCTATGAAATAACTACCGCCACTGTACAGATAAGAAAACTGAGAAAAAAGCAACTAGAACAAATAACTATGACATGGAGAACCAACTTTCAAATCTGGGAAACATACACCCTGTCCATGTGCCTGACTACTCCAACAGTATAGGAGTGGGTTTAATGTAAAGATTACTGCAAAAATGAAGAATCAAATAGATTTGCATGGAAATAACACTAGACCTGGATTCAGCTGACCTGACTTGTTTGCTGTGAAACCTCGACAGAGACACCTCTTTGAGAAATGGTTTCTTCATCTCTGAAATGGAGTGAATTCAAAGCTGGAAAGCTTGTGCTTCCAGTTTTAAAGATCAGATTCTAAGGATAAACCCTTAAATCCGAGTTTTACTTAAAGACCAGATCACTTTTTATCATTGTTCTAGATCAAGAAATACTGATGACTTCCAGTGGAAATCAAACAGCAGCAGTTTCTCTCTGGTTCAATGATCCTCATCCCACGTGATGCTATCATAAAACTGTACTTCCTCTCTTTGCAGAGAGGATTAGGCTACTTGCTAGTAAGTGTAACTCCAATAAACCTAGGAGGACCTGAGGCTGCTACTTCCCAGTTCCCAAGTCAAGTCAGGCTTTTGATAATATATTTTCTTTATATACACACATACATTCAGACGGAATCCTCCAATCACCTTCCTGATTCTAAAACTGCATTTTCTTTCTACAAAATGAAGCCAAATGTCCAAAGGAAAACCATCAGCTATGATAATATACACACATTAAAATGTCCACATGCAACAAACACACACATACATATACACACCCCACACACAAAAATACTTCCACAAGCAAGCATGCATTCATTTATTTAAACATAATCACAGTACTCACTCTAAGAGAGGGAGTTTTTAGATAGGTTTTAAGATCTCCAGTGGATGCCTGAAACCTCAGAGAGCACAAAATTCTATATACACTATGATTTTTCCTATGTATACATACCTATGATAAAGTTTAGATCAAATATCAGGCACAGTGAGAGACTGACAACAATAACTAAGAGTAACAGAACAATTATAATATACTGCAACCTCAGCATATGATATTTTTTCTTTTTTCTTTTTTTTTTTGAGATGGAGGCTCGCTCAGTCACCCAGGCTGGAGTGCAGTGGCCCAATCTCGGCTCATTGCAACCTCCGCCCCCTGGGCTCAAGCAATTCTCTTGCCTCCGCCTCCCAAGTAGCTGGGATTACAGGCATCCGCCACCACGCCCGGCTAATTTTTGTATTTTTAATAGAGATGGGGTTTCACTATGTTGGCCAGGCTGGTCTCGATCTCTTGACCTCAGGCGATCCACCCACCCTGGCCTCCCAAAGTGCTGGTATTACAGGCATGAGCCACCAGGCCTGGCCTTTTCTTAAGTGAGGAACTTTTCCCTTGTAACTTACAGGACGCACTTTATGGCTTTCTTTTGGCATATCTGAATTGCCAGATTCACTACTTTTATGCTTTGGGGCCATAGTTAAGTCAAATAAGGGTGACTTGAACCTGAGCACTGCCACAGTAACAGTCAATCTGAAAACCTAGAGGTGACTTAGAGGCAGGGAGTATCTAGAGTGTGGATCTGCTGGACAAAGTAAGGATTCACGTCCCGGATGAGACGGCAAAGGACAGCACAAGATTTCATCACATGACGCAAAATGGCGAGCAATTTAGAACTTAGGAGTTATTTCTGGAATTTTCCATTTAATATTTTTGGACCACAGTTGATGGACAGTAGCTAAAACTAGAGAAAATGAAACCACAGATAAGAGGGGTGGGGGTACTACTGCATTCTAATTATCTTTTTTGCCTACCTAAGGGTTACATACTTTGATGCAGTTTAGTTGGATATTAGGCAACTACACATGGGTAGATAAAGAAATGAACACCTTTGCACTTGAACAGCAACAGCTAAGGGGCAGACACAGAGGGAACCACTGAATTCTAACTTTGGCTGAAACTTAGTTGGATGAGGATCAGGGAGAAGATTTCTGGGTGTATTGTGTATGCTGGGTACAATCTATCAAGTATTGATTGGGTTCAAGTGTTGGTGTTGAGGAGTTACCCTCAGCTTCTCCATTCCCCTAAAAATTCTCTAGGCTGAACTAGCCTTTCTAGGCATTCACTCAAGTAAGGTGGAGAAACTGACCCATGTAACCTGGAAATGACTATGACCAGGAGGAGACGCTGAGGCTAATGTGTTGCCTATAAAGTCTCATCTTCAAGTTGATGCTATCCAGGAACAAATAACAGAACCAGTGGGGGACAGGGGGGCTTCCTGACCAGAGGACCAGCAACAGTGGAAAAAGGTGACAGGGGAAATGTACCCCCAACACACACAATACACCCCAAAACTTTCTCCCACACCCCCCCCACCAACAAAATGCCTCTGGCAAATAACACCTTATTATTTTATATGTGCAACTGTAAACTCATTCTTATTTAAAGTAAAACTAGAAGCATCTTTAGAAAACTTTGCTGCTTTAAATTGATCTATAACCTACTCCAGGTCCACCGCCCTTTCTTTTAACCAGGCTGTCATTCCTAAATTTTCCTCCATTATAGCAATTCTACCACCACCACTTCTGAAAATGGGTTTTGAATGTTAATATTTTGTTGAATTTTCAAATGCAATGATTATTTCTAACAAGAACTGAGAAACTGCTCCATTATATTTCTCCTCTCTCAATTTGATCATGCTAATAGCTTAAAAATACTCTCTGAGCAGTTACTATGGGCTGAACACTGTTCTCAATGCTTTAGACGCATTAACTCATTTAATTCCCATAGCCCAATGAAGCAGGGACTTGTATTATCCTCATTTTACAGAGAAATTAAATAACTGTTGCCCCAGGTTACAGGTAGTAAGTGGTCAAGCTGAGATTTAAAGCCAGAATCCATGCTTTCCAGCCCACACTCCCCAGCTCACACTTGCTCTTTAATTATAAAATACCAGAAATCGGCACAGTAAACATTGTTGCTGTGCACACCCTTTTATTCCTAGGAACACTTAATAACAAACTGCAAATAACAAAACCGCAATACATGCTAAATGCTACAAGGTTTCATTTCACCATCCCTACAAGAAATTTGCTTACTTTTAGAAATTATGTGCTGACTTTAAAAAATCCAAACAAAATGTAAATCATATTTTTATTAACTGTTAAACAGATTATCTGAAACATTAGAGTAAATCTCCTCTCAAAAATCATAGCAAGACTCCTGTATGTTATTAAATCTCTTCATATTTTAAACAGGAAAAAAACTCCATTTCTGAGTCCGATATAAGTTGTTAGCCCTTCAAAGTCTGATATAAGTTGTTAGCCCTTCAATAATCCTCACTAAAAAATCAGATTAATTGGAATTTAAATATATCTGTGTGTGTCTTATTTCTGTAAGTCCTTAAGGAACATTATTGTCCACTATTATCTCCAAGTCTTGTGGACTTCGTAAAGGAGTACTAGACACAGGGCAGGTTTTTAAACCATTACATAAAAAAACTTTGATATAATCTAAGTTATTCTCTTCTCTGGTAAAACTAGTTACCTAAAAGCAAGTAGGTACAGCAACATAAAACACTCAGACAGACACACACACACAAACACACAAACACCACCACCACATACTCAGTTAAGATGTTGGTAATATCACTACTTGTTTTTTCAGTTTTAATTCACTATGTCGAAAACTACTCAGAAGATATTTGATGTCTCTCTTGATAGTACAGCATGTAGAGGCAGCCCCCAGAATTATAAATCAAACTGCGTTTAAAAAAGAATGAATTGCTGAAAGAATGATCCCCACTAAACATACAGTTTAAAGGCAACTAAGGTCATCAAGAGTAACATGGCTAGTGGCTTAATGTGACATCCAAAATCTCATCCCCTTTATACTAAAACAATAGAGCGGTGCCTCTAATAAGTTAGTATCATTCCTCAAAATCTGTATTGAGAAGCACCTTTAGACCCTCAAATCTGTCTCCCAGAGGAATTCCATCAATCCAGACATTACTGAAGTTCTGAGCCAAAAATAAAGGTTAAGGGGGTGTGGGGAATCGCAGGAAGTTAAACTGTTAGGACTCCAGCCAGGGAAATTCCTTTGATAATCAAGCCCTACCTTCACCCTGAAGCGTATCTTTCAAGAGTTGAAATAATAACTTTCTTTGGAATTCTTCATACATGAAAATGTCTGCGAAAATGATCTAAAGCAATAATTCTAAGAAATAATTAAGAGAAATGAAAGCAAAACCAAAGATTTTTAACACTGGTCTTCCACTTTCTGACACTGCTTTTCATGTTTGTCTCCTTTAAATTTCTACTAAACCAAGGCCAAGTCTCCCCCTGATGTTCTATGCAGCACCTCTTAATGAGTAAGGCCGACAGTAACCACATTCTCTGACTCAAGCTTAAAGGTGCACATTCATAACGTAAAACTCCAGATATAGCGCTCAGTCTGCCCCTTAGACTGACTGAGTCACAGCAGAGGATCCAGAATGGTTTCCATTCCTCTATTTCTCTGTCTAAAGAGTCATGACATTTTCAGGCATTTTGATAGAGATAGCAAAAAAAAAAAAAAAAAAAAGTTAGAGCTTAAAAAAGCAGAAATGTTTATAATATTCCACATTACTTTCTCATTTATATGTGTCCAACTTGACAGAAATTTGAAACCAAAATCCTGAACCACACATTCCAACCCAGAAGCCTTTGTAAAAAGCCCCAGTCAAAAATGTCCAGCAATTCAAACTTCTAAGGATTCAGAAGTCGATAGATCAAACATTTTAATCAAGACTAAGCTTTTAAAATACAAGTTACATAAATATTTACCTCCACTGTCCTCTTCCATATGAATAGGAAGTAATAAATTCCCCCAATATATCTGGTGATTAAAATTCTAAAATACTACTTCGTGAACTTTTAAAGTTTGTGAACTGAGACCTCCACTTTAAAAGGCCTTTCTTTCAAGGGGCCTTCCTTGTTACTCTCCTACGCTCCATGGAAACAGAACATGAGTTAACCATGACCGTAGATTTTCATTTATTTGTATACATCAGTCAGTAGAAGAGGAAATGATATTGGCTTTGTGTTTATGAGCTACATTAGAAATTTGAACAATAGCAGACCTTTACTGAAACAAAAATAAAATATGAATCAACAAGATCTTTGCCAAACAGAGGTCTCAGGACAGCCTTGTTCAGTCTTCTGGGAATCCCACTGCAACAAGCACAATAAAAGCAGGACGTGCCTCATTTCCTTCAACCGTTCAACATGCCTCTCTTGGAGATGTTTGTAAATTTCCTTCCTTTACGCATCAAGCTGGCAAACTGTCGTCATTTCTTTGGGGTAATAATATCCTGTTGATGTCTGAGTAGATCTGTTTTGATTGTTTCTTCCACATAACACATACACTTTTAATATCATTTTCAACACACAATGCACGGAATTATTTTTCAACATATTCGAACATAGTTCAGCAAAGTATGAACGGAAGCAATGAAGGGCAGAAAATGTTAATAAAATCCTAGTTTTATTTTTGGATTTACGACTTAGATGTAGGTAACAGAGTAATTCCAAAAGTGGGAAAAAAAAAGCATTCTCTGCTGTTTAGGAAGCTGAAAATACTTACCTCTACGATTTTAATAAGGTATATGTTTTCATTCAATTCCTATACTGGAGTGTGGGGAATTTCACATAGCAAAAGTACCAAATCAGCATTAAAACACTGACTTGTAAAAATGGCAACTTTTATTCTACTGGATATACAAATTATACCACAGTACTTTAACAACAGAGTTCTAAATTCATTCCAAAAGTAAATTATGCTTCAAATCCAGTCAAATACTCTGAGGGATTACAAATTTTTATCTAAATAAATATTTTTTTTTCAAAACTTAAAATTTATTTGGACCTGACGGTATATTTCTTGGACAAAGAAGTTTTACCTAAGCGAAATTATTCCTGATTGAATTGCATTTCTCAATAAAGTTACATGACATAAAGGGAGAAAATTATACAGAGTGACAATTTTTAAAAATAATACTCAAAAAGTAAAATAAGACCAACTCTCAACTAATGTAACTTGCACTAAGGCAGACATTCTGGGTTCAAAAACAGCAAAAACTGATTTGTGAAATACTAAAAATAATTAATCATTGCTGCAAAGCACTAGATTTGGAGCTAAACTAAATGGCATGTACCATTCACTGCAATTCCAGATAACACCTTATTTTACACATGCAATAAGAATCATGAACATGAAAAATGTTCAGTGTCATTAATCCAGAAAATGCCAATTTCTAAAAGAACACAACCAGATCCTATTTCGACTACCATGTTAATAAGATAAAAATAATACAAACTGGCACAGCCTTCCTAGATAGCAATTTGGCAAGATACATAAAGAGCCTTTCACCTAATAATTCCCTAGGAAACTATCCTAATAACATCCTTGCAAATGCAGACAAGTATTTATGTGCAAGGAGTTTAAGATGTGGTCGACAGCTGCAAACTGTTAAAATAAATTATGGAAGACCCATGTGATGGAGTATTACAGTGCCTTTAAAAATCACACTTTCAAAACATTCAAGGACATAGGAAAATATTCATGGTAAAATATGAAGTTTAAAAGCAATAAACAAATTTCATGTTATGTTTTTAAAAACCAAAGGGAGACAGAATCTACACAGTAATCAAAATATTAACATTGGCTATCTCCACAATGAGGGTACATTACATTTTAATAAAAAATAAAATAAAGGGGTAGGTGTGTGTGTCTACATATATCTGTGTGTATGCATATATATCTGTATATATACGTGTATGGTGTCTATACAGAGACAGATATTTATAGTACAGTTTCAAACTTGAAAGATCTCATAGTCTATTATTAAGAATTTATCAAAATCGAGTGGGAGTGGTATATGTAGATGACCCAAGAATGGCAGAATGCTGGTAATTATTGAAACTGTATGACGGCAACATAGAAAATGATTCTACTATTGTGTATACACTGCATGTGTTTAAAATTTTTTCAAAATAAACAGTTAAAAAATAATTAAAAGGCAAGAAAAAATACAGTAGCTTCATAAGATCAACCCTGAAAGAAATACCGGTACTTCTGAATGAATATCTAGTAAGATTTCAATAGGCAAAGTAAGTACTTAAGGGTAGCAGGCAGGATACTGAGCAAATAATACTGAAGAAAGGCAATGACCTTGAGGATCAGGCCAGTGAATAACTGGTCACAAACTAATGGAATCTTACTGCTCCTTCTAGTATTAGATGAAATCCCCTGATAGAAGATAAAGGGGCACCATCTTATGGATTTCAATCAGGATGTAATTCTCCTAATAAGTGGGCATTTCACCTATGCAAATCTTCACCTGGCATGAAGACGATAAAACAGCGTCACTGACTAGTGCAGACTTCAGGTCCCACCCTTGGTCACTGAAGGAAAACTATTCCTTTTACTGGACAGTGATTCCTGCATAATTCTCATGGGTTCTTTATTCTCACTGGACAAAACCTCTCTGAGATCTAGGCATGATGAAGAGTGGAAAACAAAGAGCTCATTTTTAAAACCCTCTACTCATGCCTTATCATTCCTAGCCCTCAGCTTTTTTTTTTTTTTTACATCAATAGCCCATCTCCATATAAATGTCTAATTTTGCAACACTTTAGGTGCCACAATGACTGTGTGAATGAGTCAGAATATGCATTACCAAAGAGTGAAAGAGTGTAGTTTTCCTAACCAATATCTATTTTTGAAAAAATTTTTTAAAAGCACATTGCTTCTTATAATTTTTCCATAAATATCTAACTACTCTCAAAGCTACCATTTAGACTACAAATGCATCCTTCAGTTTGTTAAGGAAAATTTCCATCACTTGCAACTATAAATTTGGAAAACGCAGTAACCTTTAATGGCATACAAGATATGATTTTGCTTTCTCATATTTAAAAAAAAAAAAGCTGCTTATTCCTGAAGTAATTTTTCAGAACCTATATGGTTTTATAATTTTAAAGCTGATCCCCAGTGTTTGATAATTCTCTATCTCTTCTTTCTTTGTATTTCAATCCCAAAATCTTTTAGTTATCTTTGAAAATACATATGCATTAAAGTTTGAGGCCAGACAGCCAGCATATACTGGTAGCCCCTGCTAAGGCTAATTGAGTTATCATAAACATGTAAATCCCTTTGTATAGAGAAGCGTGGCTTTTCCTTGCCATCTAAGATGAAACTATAAAGATAAGCATGATCTATGTTCTTGATTTGCTTTGCATGTAAATTCTTTCACATAGATAAGCTCTTGATATGTATTCCTCTTCTGAAAGATCAAAGATCATTCTTCAAAAGCCAGGTTTCTCTCCTATCTTCCATCTCTTCTCAGATTTCTACTGTATCTTTTCCCCATGGCTAATGTTCTCTGAAGAGAACCAAATTAATGAACACTGACATTCTTCATAACTATTTTAATGGCATCCTGTGGTGACGATGCAGTAACAGGACTATTGTGGCATCGAGCAACATGGTCTCCATGCTTACTTCCTGACAGTACCTCAATCACTGAGCATGTGTTTGAAATATTATGCATTCATACATGCACATCCATGAGCATACACACACACCTATCCATGCGCGCACGTGCACACACACACACATACACATACAGCCCCCAATCATACCTACCACCATGCTGGTCAGCACCCACAGCCAAGGAAAAGTAAAGGCCTAAAAACTAATCTAGAAGATGTAAACCTAGTAACAGCTAATTCAAATAAATCATTAAATATAAAAATTTAAAGAAATACACAGCTGCTGATTATCTCAATTCTTAAACTTGGCTCTTACAGGTTCATTACAATTAAAGCCTCTTCCTAAGTGAACCCTGCTCAGGGCAGCCTTAGCATTCGACTTTTTTTGGACAGAAGCTTTTGGTAAGTAAAAAGCAAACAATAAACAGAGGAAAAACATACGATTTAATAAAAAGAGCACACGTAAAAATATATGGATGCACAAAGCAATTGATGTATATTATTTACTTTTTTTACAATGTTTATAGAATAGTATAATTTTTATATAATGCATACATTATCTGATTATGAATAATATATATATAATATATGGTTTATTACTATTATAATTATAACCATATAATGGTAACTGAATTTGTGCCAGGCATAATGCTAAGCAATTAATAAACATGCTCATTTGATCCGGCCCCACTCTATAAAGAACTATAATATTACTTTCTTAAGGATGAAAATAACTTCAGCAAGATTAAGAAACCTGCCTAATTTCAGAGGAAAACACATAAACATAAAGCCATAAAGACAGTTACCTGTTCTTGTTCAGTCCTGTATCACCAAAACTTAATGTAAAGATGGAGAAACAAATTAAAGTTAAAAGATCTAAGAAGTCAGGCAAGTAGATGAGAGGGAAAAACGTCAGAGAATGCAAGGTAGGAAAAGAATCCAGAGTATAAAACTCATGGAAAAAAATGGCCTCACCAAGTTGAGTACGGTCACACTCATCTGTTCATTCATCAGGCATGTACTGAGTGTTGACTATGTTCTGGTTACTGAGCTACGTACAGGCACATGGCTGGGGTGCAAGCTCTGAAGACATGATCCTGACCACTCCAGAAACTACAGTTCCGTCAGGAAGACTAAGTGCCTCAGCAGGTGTGATTGCTGGCACATGCCCCAGCAGACATGAGGACAAGCTGGAGGGACAATCAGATCAGTCTTCTGGGTTAAGAAAAACTCCCATGAAGTGGTAGACGTGAGCTGAGTTTTGAAAGAGTAGGAGGTATAGAAGAAGGCTGTGTTCCAAAGTCCATTGCTTCAAAGAGGTAAAGCAGTAGAAAGGTCAAAGCCAATCAGACATGTTACTGACGACGTTTTGAGGTGGAATCTGCAGAGAGTGCTGCGGAAAGAAGCCAGATCATGGCACATTATATACAGAATGTCGTGTGAGAAAACTTGGCTTGAAAAGGACAGAACAAAATGAGGAGAAAAATTAGTCTCAAAATTTGGAGGGGGGTAGGTGTATTTAAATCCATCTTTAAATTTAAAAAGCCATCTTTAATTTCAAGATAGGAGAAATGGGCATATTAAAATGCTGAGGAGTCAGGAGAGAAGAGGAGGTTGGTGATTCCAGAGAAAGAGGGAGAAAGACTCCTGGCGAACATGCCCTCAGATGTAAGAGGATGACGGTAACAGCTATTGAGACGAGCAAATATAGACGTGATTACAAAATCAGATTGGGTTTAAAAGAAGTTTCCAGAAAATGGTGGTGGTGGCGTGTATATGATAAAAGACCAATTCCAAAGGCGTGTGTAACAGTGATCATTCAGTGATGAATTATGGAGACAGGGCTGTAGATGGAGAAGATGACTGGACATGAGTTTGGGAGTCTTTTTTATTTTCTAATTGTTACCTTGAACAAGTCATTTAACCTCAACCTCAGTATCCCTAACTCTTAAACAAGGATGACAGTCCACTTAACTTTTTTTATGACATATCTGAAAGCACAGAAACTGGTTCATGGAAAATGCTCACTAAATCTTGGGTTAGTCTTATCTAAATCTAAAATAATACACTGCCGGGTTTTTGGGGGGTCTTTTTTTAAAAAAAGAAAAAAATGGTTTATAAGCAACGTGAAGCAAAAGCGACAGCTTTCCATTAGGTGAACCCAAGCAGAAGACTGAGAGAAAGAGAGAAAGGCAGTCTGATTATGCAACTGTAGAAGGTTAGCCTCTTGAGACACAGAGCAGAATGGGGAGTGATCTGGAAGCCTTGATAGAGAAAAACTAAGTAGGAAACACGATGGTGAGCATTAGAAGAGGAAATGGCTTTAATCTTTAAGAGTGTGGTCAGGGAAGGCTTTCTGATATGGGATTTGAGGGAAGAGAGAGATGAAGGACCCAACTATGGAGAACCTGAGTCAAGTGTTCCTAACAGAAAGGATAACAAATGTGAAGACCCTGAGGCGGGAGCTTGCATGGTGCATTTGCAGAACACCAAGAAAGAGGTGTGGCTGGGGCAGAGTGGGAGATAAAGCAGATGGTATCACAGAGGTACCAGGGAAGCCACATACCATTTTAAGGTCTTTGACTTTAACTAAATAAGGTGGGAGGTCAGTGAAGTGTTCTGAGAAGAGGAGGAATAACATCCAAATTATGTTTTAAAGATCACTGCTCCATTAAAAAACAGACTAACTAAGGTCAAGGGCTAAAGCCGGCAGTCCAGTTAGCAGACTATTACCAGAGTGCTACAAAGTCCTAGCAATAGAGGTTAGGAAAAGTGGTTGAATTCTTAAAAGTCAGAACCTTGTGGGAAATGGTTATAATAAGAGCTCCTAATGAATAACACCACCCTTCACCCATGCTTTTGTGGAGTTTCTTACCACCCTGACACTGGACTATGCCATGTGACATGCTTTGGCCAATGGAGTATCTGCAAGCATGATGTAAGCAGAGACTTAAAAAGTGCTTGCTCATTGGATCTTGCTCTTTTGTGGGGCTGGCTGATTTTCTACCATGATGTGAAGAACCCTGAGCCAGCCTCTGGACGCCTAAACCATGTGGAACAGAAGTGAGCCAATTCAGTTGATGCCTCCCTAAACCAACCAGGCCCTCCTGTCCACCTGCCATCAGACTGTATCCTCATGAGTGAGTGACCTCCAGTGACATCAACAAGAGAACCAACTGGCTGAGCTCAGTCCAAACAGGTGAACTACATACAGATTTGTGTGCCGATAAAATGGTTATCGTTTAAAATCACTAAGTTTGGGGAATGTTTGCTATGCAGCAATAGATAATAAATATAAGCTAACAACATTTATGAAGACTTTAAATGTACAATACAAGAGAAAATGAAGATATGAATAATTCCCTAGAAGTTAAGTCTGAGAAATGGGAAAACTAAAGGTGTCTTCAAATGAGATGGGACGGCTGAGGAAGAAATTAAATCAAGTGTAAAACCCAGAGGATTTATAAACATCCTCAGTGCAAGCAAAGGTACGTACAATTCTGTTTAGGTATAAGCAGTAAAGCAATGGTGACTCCTCAGACACACACAGCAGCTCCAGTCAGGGAAGTGTGAGAGTCCAGGCCCTTGCTGGTTAGAGCTTTCTCCATCTCTCTTCCCTTTGACCTTGGATTTCAATTTTTGCCATGAGCAATAAATTGAAAGTAACAAAAACTACAATAATCATTTATACAAGTTTTCATATATCCATTATTCTCCAAATAATACTTTTTGCACAGTAACTTTTCTGCCCATCATTTATCCTAGGTGATTACATGAATTAATGGCCCACCATTAAGTACTTAGCGAAACACCTTGAATGCCTGCTTCAAGATTTAGATCTTGAAACAGACAGTGGTCTTTATATGCAAAATCTCTAATGACTTCTAGAATGCATGGAGTTTATCTTCCTTACATTACCAGCAATATGATGATTTGCCGTCTGTTATATAAAATGTTTAAATGTTTACAGCTAATATGAATTCATCAGGTACAGTTAAGTAGAGCAAATTTAGTTCTATGAAACTTTACACAACTTCACAGAAACAAAATATCAAAGACTCTATCAAGGAGCTATAAAAACTGTGTATTAGAAAATAGAAGCAAAAATGAAAAAATGTGTGCAAAGATATGGAAATAACCAAAATCACCAAATATGTAGGAGAGACTGAAGTAAATGATGGTAAGTCTAACAGTTTAACACTAGTCATTAAAAAATTCAGAATGTAAACTATTGGAAAACATATTCTATATATGAAAAAATGACATAGAAAAAGAACACAAAGGTATGTAAGCACTGAATAAGTATGTTTTAATTGCTTTTGATTGCCCAACAAAAATTTTTTTAACTGTCAGATAACACATGTGAAGCAAGGATGAATAACCCAGAAAAAGGAAAACTGTGTGAATATATACGAAGGGACACAGACAAAAACCAAAGTTTATCAGTAACATAATAGTATTTTTAAAAAGTCATTGGAGGATTTTTTGCTGTAAATCTGTTTAAGTGTATAAAATCTGAAAGAGAATAAAGAAGTGCGACCGGGTCCTTGTATTTTTTTGTGTTTTTTTCTCACAATTATCCAACATTTTAACAAGCAGAGGTGTCACAATAGCATCTTGAAAATTAAGATTTAGTTCCCTATATTCTTACATATTTATACATATCCAAGCCTGCCACACAAAAAAGAACATTCAACCCAAACTCACCAGACTATTATCTGAATGGCACTAATCAATGCTCTTCAATAATCTTCAGCACAAAGAGGGAAAATAGGTGGAAACAGGATATTATGAAAGTAAATTACATGAGCAGCATTAGCAACAACATGAGGCTCCCAACAGGATCATGAATCCTAAAAAGTTAAGACATGCTCTGGCCAGGTGTGGTGGCTCATGCCTTAATCCCAAAACTTTGGGAGGCCCAAGGCAGGCAGATCGCTTGAGCCTGGGAGTTCGAGACCAGCCTGGACAACATAGTGAAACCCCATCTCTACAAAAAAATACAAAAATTAGCCATGCATGGTGGCCTACGCCTGTATTCCCAGCTACTCGAGAGGCTGAGGTAGGAGGATTGCTTGAGCCAGGCAGGTCAAGGCTGCAGTAAGCCCCGATGGTACCACTGTACTTCAGCATGGGCAACAGAGTAAGACCCTGTCTCAAAAAAAAAAAAAAAAAGAAGAGGGGTTCTAACATTGAGAAACCACGGTACCAACTGTCCCCATTTCCTCAGCTATCAAACAGATGGAATCTGAATCTCTCCCAGAGGTACTCTGGCACATTTGAGAAATATAATAAAAATAATTATAATTTCAGAGCCTAAAATAAAGCCTATGTAAATTCGTAATATGGAGCATTGACCAGCCATAAGACAGGATGGTGCTACTGTGCACACGATTCATTTACATGCTGAACTGAGATACTCTAGGACCTTCACATTC